ATAAATAAATAAATAAATAAAAAGTTAAATAAAATTATTCTTAAAGAAAAATCACACTGGGTATGTATATATGCATGCCCTGAATCCCAGGAGAAGGATAAGGGAAGAAGGGATTGTAGCGTGGCCATCCCCCTTGGGGGGTGATTTCTTACTGTCCCTCTCACTACCTCTGTGTACCCTATGGCAGAAGCAAAAAAAAAAAAAACTTTAAAAAATATATATCCTGAGACCAGCAGTTGGTGTAATGGCTATGTCGCTGGACTCCCATGTAGTTGACTGCAATTTGAGTTCTGGACCCGGTGGCTTAAAATTCACGCCAGGCCATGTATACATGCATCCCAAGATCCTGAGAGGAGAAAGGAGGAGAAAGGATTGCGGTGTGGCCATTCCCCTTGGGGGAGGGTGATTTCTCACTTTCTGTCTGTCTGTCTGTCTGTCTGTCTCTGTCTTTCTGGCAAGCACATGCACCCTGTAGCAAAAACCTCTCCAAAAAAAAATATATACACACACACACACATATATATACACTACGGCTCACAAGACAAACCCCCACGATAGTTACCAGGCCTAAAAATGTCAACAGTACTAACATTAGAGACCCTGCTCTAAATCAATGCAGACTAACCACAGTGAGGAGAGGCATCCTTGCTTAGTTCGTAAGTTAATGGACATGCTGGTAGAACCTCACCATTATGAAACGTTCATTGTTGATTCCTGGTAACCACTCTTCATCACGGTAGGGAAAAATGCCTCTGTTTCTAGTTTCCTAAAAGTTTTCATCTAAAAACAGCCCTTGAATTTCATCAAATGCCTTTCCCACATCTGTGTGAGAGTATCTTAGTTTTTCTCCATTTTTGATCTTTTAAACTTTTTCCATAGGGTGCATGTGATTGCTAGAGATACAGACAAAGAGGAAAAATAAGAAATCACCCCCATGGGGCCAGCAGGTGGCATGATGGTTGGGGGGGCTGGACTCCCACATGGCTGACCATGGTTCAAGCCCTGGACTAGGTGTCATGTTTTCTCATTTTCTCTTTCTCTCTTTGTCCCTCTCCAGTCAAATTAAAAACTAATAATAATAAATGGAATTAAATAAATAAATAATTTTAAAAGAGAGAGAGAGAAATTAGCCCTTCCTGGGGGGCTGGACACGTTGCTAGACTTCTCCCCCATTCTCCTTTTTGGGCAAGCACGCACACATGCCCAGCATGTTTTTTAAGCCTCCAGGACCAGGGCTCAAATGCAGGGTCAGCCATGGGGGAGTCAATGCCTTAACTTCCACGCCACCTGCTGGCCCTCTCCCTTAACTTTTTAACACAATGAATCATAGTAAGAGACTCCTAATACTGAACCACCTTTAGTTCTTGAAGGTAAATCCTACTTTGCGACAATGTCACTCTCTTAAATATACTGCTCTTTGGTTCACTACTTTGTTACTATAAACTCGTTCTCTATCCAGAAGCAAAACTGGACTATACAGTCCTTCTTCTGTTATCTCTGTGACCACTTGAATAAGCCTTATACAATGATATGTGAAAGGGCCAGCAGGTGGTATGGTAGTCAAGGCGCTAGACTCCCACAGGGCCAACCATGGTTCGAGTCCCAGACCTGGCAGCTTGCTTTCTCACTTTCTCTCTCTGTCTCTCTAGTGAGCATGCATGCTCTGCAGCAAGTTAAAAAATAATAATAATAAATAAAATTAAGTAATTCCTTAAACAATAGTATGTGAACCTTTCATCTCTTTCATTGTTCTAAAGGAACACAGAATTATCTATTCCTTGAGAAATTTCTAAATTAGTCATAAAACCTATGTGGCCTCATGCTTTCTGCGGAATAGGCAACTGACAATTTTTTCTAGTTCTTTTCTGTCTCCTCTCCAATCACACCAAGTATCAGTGGTCATGGCTATTTCATAAGTGCCTGAAGAGGACAGCTCCAGGGGATGTCATGGTTTGCATGTCATGGGGTCATGTGGATGGGTCATAGGAGCTCTGGGGTTTGGAGGGCTCTCACAGGTTGTGATGTCAGGGGGAGCATAGCTGTCACTCAGGTAGGCATTGCTGGGCTTGGCCACCTTTAGGTAGACAACATCATACGTGTTCTTCAGGGCTGCCACGGCATCCTCATGCATGACGTCCTCCAGCCCCACACTGTTGACCTGGGGTCAAGGAAGGCAAAGCTCAGAGTCAGGACTGGCTGCAAGGCAGATGCACTGGGGAGCTGATAAGGAACCCGAGCCTGCCTGGGGCCGGTAGGTCAGATCCACAAAAGAGCAAGCCAGAAAAGTGATGGGGGTCCTCACCGCCAGGATCTTGTCTCCAATCTGCAACCTCCCATCCTTGTGGGCGGCGCCCCCTTCTATGATCTTCGTCACATAGATGCTATTATCTCCCGGGATGTGCTGGTTCCCCACGCCCCCTGCGATGCTGAAACCAAGACCTAGAGGAAGGGAGGGCACCGGTGGGTGCTGGGTGCCTGGGAAGCAGGCCGTGGGGCGTGAGGCAGTTCGGACAGGGGCGGGGACAAAACAGGACACTACCTTTAGGCCCCTTGATGAGCTTGATCTCCATAACCTTCTCAGCCGGAGGCTTTCGGCGCATGACATAGAGGCGGACGATGGAGCCTGCCTCTTTGAGGGCCTCCACCGCAGCCGAGTGGGTCACCTCCCGCACGTCCACTTCATTTACAAACAGGATGCTGTCATTGACCCTAGGAGCAGCAAGGTGGGCCTGAGCTAGGAGCTTCCTGCTGCCCCAGCCCTCCCTTCCAAAGGAATCAGCGTCCTAAGTCTTGTCTCCTCTTCCCACCTGAGGCGGCCATCCTGGGCTGCAGCCCCGCCGGGAATGATCTTGGTGATGAAAATGGACGGGTCGTCGCCGATGTGTGGGTTGTCAGTGCCACCTGCGATGCTGAAGCCCAGACCTGAGTTACCCTGGGCAGAAGGAGGGGAAAAAGGGTCAGGGCCCCTCCCTGCTCATCTCTGGTCAGGCAAGTGGAGTAGGATGGGCAGGAGAGGATGGGGTGAAGGAGCTGACCACCTGGAAAACATGGATGCAGAGAGTGACACAGACAAGGAGCAAGACCTCGGCTGAAGGAGCCTACTCACCCTTTCCAATGTGATCTCCTCGTATTCCATCTCCCCCTCCGTCCCGTTCACCTGCAACTCCAGCACGGGACAGAAACACAAAAACAGTGAAACAGACATTACACCCTGTCCCTCCTCTGCTGCAGGGACCCAAGCCCTCCCCTCTCCCTCCTTCCCTCTGGGCTAGCCCCGGCCCCAAAATCTAGACAACTCACATATCCCGGGGCTTCTAACGTGTCTGTGTTGACAATCACAGGGGGAGAATTGGCCTGTGAGGGAAACGAGACAAAATGCTGCCTGAGCCTCGGCTCCAGAGGGAGTCATAACCAAGGGCCCCACCAGCCGGGCCATCCTTTCAGCCTCTGAGCCAAGCCAACTCCACCACCCAGAGATCTCAGCTCCTCAAAGACCCAGCCTCAGTGCCCATCTCACTCACACACACACACACACGCACACGCACAGACGCACACGTGCAGGGATCTAACTCTGCCCAGCCCAGGCCCCCCTCAGATGGAAGGAGGTGTATGAGAAGCAGGAAGGGAGAGACAGCCAGACGGAGAGGGGAGCAGCAGATGGTAACGAGTGGGGGGAGCATCCTTGGGGGGAAGGGAGCTTCTCACCGGATGTAGATGTAGCGCCACGGGGTGTTACATGCCTTATGTGCTACACCCGGATACCCCAGGGCTCATGTCCACTGGGTCCTGCTCCCCCACTTCCTGCTCCCCCACTTCCTGCCCCCATCCCTGTCCCTTTCTCTCCATTTACCCCCAGATATCTGTACGCCCTTCCCCCAGATTTGGCCCTCACCTTCACACACATTTGCTTTAAACCTGAGCCCTGGGAATCCCGGGTTCCCCCAGCTGCAGGCTCCTCCTTCCCTCTCAGCCACCCGCCAGCCAATCCGCCCCTTCCTCCAGGGACCGTGTTGCCTAGCAACGGTATCTAAGACCAGCCAAGACCCATGGAGACCCACCTCCTGGAGGCCCTGTCGTCAGGACAACAGGGGGGTGTGGCTAAGGGTCCCGAACTAACGCAGCTGAGATCTACTGGTCCCTCCCTCCTGCCCTAGACCCACCCCCATTCCCCACTCCCCCTGTTGGCCAGGCCGAGCTCAGGCTGAAGAGGTTTGTGAGCAGAGAACATCCTGAATAACCTCCCTTCCTCTCTCCCCTATGCCCCTCACCCTACGCAGTGCAAAGGACGTCAGGAAGGGGGAAGAGGGGAAAGACATCCGGGTCCTATCCTGCTCCCTCGTTCCTCCCCGGACTTCGTTCAGGAAAGGGTTAAAGTGGGGCGTGCCCAAGTCCC